CTACTCCATGTTTTGAATCAAGAGTGGGCGAAAATCCCACAATCTAAAATTGACGAGATGATTCTCACAATGCCCCAAAGAATCAACGAACTCCATGAAGCGAAAGGAAGATCTACTAGATATTAATTAAATTATAAATATATCAATTCAGGTGAATGTGACTGAAAAATTTCGTTTTTCCTGAAAAGGTGGTGTCTATTTACTTGTGACCACGCTGTGTACATTGAAAACATACATAAACAAAATCTGATTTGTATCATTAAACACAAAAAATATAATAGCAGTAAAAGTTAAGAAAAGAATTAAACTCATTAAAATGTAAAAATATTACAACATACCTCAATCTCAAGATTGTGTGTTGTGTTTGCTCAATTATTTGCTCTAACCAGGTATTGCTATAAAAAAAACGAAAGAAAAAAAAATGAGATGTGGCTTGTTCCAAAATTTAAAACAACATTATAAAGACTGAATTATGAAAACATATCTCAAAGTGCTAAGAAGATATTTTCAAAATTTATTGCTAAATGGTAAAGAGAAATATGTTAGAAGTAAACATCCAATATAAATCACATGGAAAAAAAATTCAGAATTAAAACTGAATACTTATTAAGTTCATTTAGATATAGCAATGAAAATAATACAAGTCTTATGCAATGGGTTGCTGTGAATTGGTCATTTCAATGTTTCTGAATAATGTTTTGCCACAAATGTAGGTTCCCATTTGTTTTAGTATCAATCCACTTACAAATCTAACTGCAAACTTACAGTGCATCTTTTTTTAAATCACAGTTTGTATAAAAATGTTCTGTCACATGTCATGTTAGAGTTCATGATTTCTATAAACCACCAGATAACAAAATAGCTTTCCTGTGCTTTAGTTTTAGCCTGTATGTGGTGTATCTTTCTTTGATACAAAAATCTCATTCATGAAACTGCCACAGAATTAATCTGGTTCCCTACAATAAAACAGTTGGCTATCTTGTATAACTTTGATATTTATACAGATGAATCTTCTGTGCTTGTTCACTTGTTTGCAGCAGCCTGCTGACAACAGGAGTGCAAACTTTTTTTATTCTTTGATGAACCAGCTCTAAGCTAATAGGCATGAAAAAGCATCAACCTAAACTGAAATTTCACTAGCCTATTTTTTTTACTATAGTAACTAACTTATTACAAATTGCAAATATATACATTGCAATGACTTCTTCCACAGTATTGCATAACTAAAAATAACACAATTTACTACAGTATATGTGATGTAGATGAATGGACTAGCTAACCACTCTACATATGTGATAAACTGGTATTCCTCATTTAATGAAATTATTATTATTTAAATCAAAATGTATGAAACCCTCCAATCTCTGAGCAGGTTATCCAGTGTATGTATACAATGAAATCAAAATAACCACAAGGCAGTCTGACATTTTGAACATCTTGCCCATTTCCTTGAAAAAGGCCACAGAGTTCCAAGAGAATTTTGAGTCATTTCCCTTAAACAAAACTGTTTCATCAGAAAAAATAATAATGTGTATTAGAAATTATTATAAATAAAAAAAACTAAACAATTAGACACCAAGTTAGAAGTCAATAAGTGAGTCACACATGTGTTTCTATATCAGACTAAAGATGGATTAACCTATTGTTGATAAAGAGGCTACCGATAATAAAAAGTTTAAATGATAATAGATATTTAATAATTTGAAAGAAAATGTGACAACAGGTATAATTTTTGAACTTTAATTAAATATAGGGTTGAATTTTTTATATGCATGCATGCATTTAATAAAAGCAGAAGCACAACAGCACCAGATAGTGCATGTTGAATTCACAGTAATCCCAATTCAAAAATTGTTTGTGCCAGGTGTCTGGATAGTGAATTTTTATACCCTTTTTACATACATCTCAAGGGGTTGTGATAAACAAAGCTGATAAATGACAAGTGTAAACTGACCATAAGAAATACTGTCTAAAACTTAAGCTTCATGAAACTAAGATACCAGTATGCAATTTATAAACTTGTAAAAATGACGTATGCCCCTAATTTTCTTAACTTTCGGTCTGTGAATAACTTTTTTTTATTTTACATTGTACTTAGCAATACATGGAAAGTATATTTTATCACCACTAGTGAAAAAACAATAACAAAAAGAAAAAAGAATTTCATGTAAAATACAATCATAAATTAACTTAAAATATGGTAGTAATAACTAAGGTTTCACATTGTTGAGAAATTATCAGGAATTTATCCGATTGCAAATACTAAACTAATACATCATATAAAACATACGTTTTACAACTCTCCATCAGCGTGTGTCGATCAAGAGCTTCAGGCCCAGCAATTTGGCGTCGCTTACTGACACCAAGGGTTCCTGTCACTGGGTGAGGTGTTGGAAGATGAATATTTTGATGATGATGTTCTCTCAACAACTGATATAAGGAATGTTCCAGAACTGCTTTGTTTTCAAGAGGAGCAGGTAAAATTGTGGCCTATCATACAAACACAATAAAAAATACAAGAAAACAAAAACTAAAGGATCAAACTGAGGCTTGTGTGTCAAGAAAAAGCCAATTTGCCATCTCATCATAAAAATAGCTATAATTTTTTTTTCTTTCTTTTTGATAACTAGAAGTGTTAATTGAATAAGCAACAAGAAAGTTAGTGAAAACCAATAAAAATCATTAAATGAAATGAAGCTTAATCCTGAGGATTTGGGTGAGTCAAAGAGTGTATATGAAAAAGTTAATGACTAGCTTGGATGAATTTGTAACGGCTCTTGTCACATAGTTAGAAAGCCAGGAAAATTTTGAGAGTTAAGGAAATTTGTCTACTTTTTGCATGTTATTAGTCTAAATTCTTTGGTACATTGTTTAATTAAATAAAAATTATTAAATG